TTGTTTATGCTTATGTCCCACAGTATCCCATTCAATACCGTGATAGCATTCCTTCCAAGTTGGTTTCGTTCTTTAATTGCTGTATCCAACAGCCCATCATTTGTGATTTGCATACCCAAATATTTGTATTTTGTGCAGCACTTAATTTTCTTCCCTTCTTCTAGTATTAGATCTTGTTGTTCTCCTCCGATACACTATCGTTAGATTCTGTTTTGTTAGTATTGATCTCGAGTCCCCATTTCTGATATTCTTCTATAAGCTTACGTGTCATATAATTTATGTCATCGTAATCTTGTGCTATGATCACCTGATCGTCCGCGAAGCAAAGTGTGTAGAGCATGTTATCCCCTATGGGTACTCCCATATTTCTACATTTTTGCTTCCAACCTTTGAGAACTTGTTCGAGATATATCTTGAACAGTGTTGGTGAACTACAGCACCTTTGTTTCAGACCTTTGGTTCCATTAAATCCTGTTGTTAACTTTTTGCCGACTTTTATTCTAGTTTTTGTTTGTTTATATAATGATTTCACTGCTTTTATTAGCTCTACATTTATATTGGTTTTTTCCATAGCTTTCCAAAGTCTCACAAGGGGAACGCTGTCGTATGCCTTCTGCAAGTCCACGAACACAAGATGTAGCTCTTGGTTTATATTGCTCTTTTTACTTATTACTTGAGTGACTGTAAATAAGGGGTCCACCGTCGATCTTCCGGCTCTAAATCCTTCTTGTTCTTCGGCTTCTATTTTTCTAGGATCAAGATCATAATATACCGGATGTTTCTCAAGAGTGGAACTGTTTTTTTTCTTATAAAAAACGAGATTTGGTTTGTTAGTATATGACGTAAATTAAGATTGATTGACGTATTCAATTCTTTTTTACCACTTCCTGTTTCACCCTCAACTTACTCACTCTTTTTTACTTTATTTGATAGAAAATGACACTCTGCATAGAATGGTCTATTATATGTCAATTTTAAATTTCAATCTAGAGTGTCATGGCTGGGTTAAAATCACTAATTTTTAATCAAGGTGTCTTGGAAAGATATATTTGATCGTCTACTATTTTTCGTGTCTTCTGGCCGATTAAAACACACCCAAATCGTATTTTTAATTATATCTCAATTTTTCCAAACGGAACGAGGGTGGCCCAATAGCATATTTAGAAGTTGTAGTCATTTATGGTGAAACAGGATTGAATACAAATCAATTGAATATGTCGATCAATCCTGATTTATGTCATATACTAACGTACTAAATCTCGTTTTTTTATCTGAAAAAATAAAAGTTATAGGAAGTGAGTCACCTTAAAAAATATATTTTTTTAGATTTTTTTAAGAATTGGATAAAAAATTAGATAATTGAGAACCATAGAAAGAGTAGGTATGTGCAGTTGCAGCATATATAAAGTTTTAATCCTATAATACGTGTTGCAGATATTAAAAAAAAAACTTAAAAACTCTAAACAGTTGATTATTATTAACTCTTTTTAACTGCTAAGCTATAGATACATACCTACACAGACAATTATACATATACCTAGTACTATATTTAGATATTAAAATTAAAGGTTAAGCAGGTTAAAGTAGCAGCGATTTAAAAATTGCAATCGCAGCATCAATTGTGATTGGAGAATCACATTTTTGCTCATGTCTAGGCACCACTCAATTTAAGCTTAAGCTAATATGATATTTAAAAATCACGAAAATTACCACCGGCTCTACAGATGTTCTATAATGATATATCTTGAATTAATAACCAAATTTTCAGGTTGAAAATGAATATAGGTAAGGCAAAGGTTTCGATTAGGAAGATTACACAGTTAATTACTTTTCTCTTGCGATTTTCAATTAAATTAAATATTATCAACTAAATTACCAAACGTAACCGTTGTGTTTGAGTTTCATTAAAAAACGAGCAAAAAAGACTGAAAAACAAGACATAAGTGAGTATTTGCTTTTATTCTGCTTTGAAGGTGTTGTCAATTAGGGTTGATTTCCTCTCGTACTTGGACCCATATCGATGACGTAACAGCTCCAAACCATCAGAAAACTTCAAAAATATTTGCGAAAACAGTGGAATAAAAAAACCGGTGTTTTCCCATTTCTCCACATTGGCGTAACTAGGGCGGGGGCCTGGGGGTACCCAGCCCCCCAGGTACCACCAAGGCTGGGCACCCCAGAGAAATCCTGAATTACTTGAACTCTTGGCTGCATTAATTTTATTTGCTTGTGAGTAAAAATGACGTTTCTAGTTTTGTTTAGTTAATACTATTTTGTTTCTTACCTTTGGCTTTAGGTCGTTGTGGTTGCAAAGATGTTTCAAGATTTTGTTCATTATTTTTATTTTATGACGATTGTTTCGATAGTATATATCTTTTTCAAGTCTCTTTAAGTACATAAAACAGTCAGTTAAAATCAAAGATAAAATGTCAAACTAAAAGGTCTTACCTTAAACGTAGATTCTTACAGAGTTAAAAATTTGTTAAACTGGACAAACACAATAACACATATTAACTATTGTTTTAATTGTTTTGGGACATCACACTTTACTATAGAGCACGTATGTATTTCCTAGCAGATCGCTCTGTATAAAACACATTTATCATTTCAAAACCCGATGTCTACTGTTTATAGTGCGTTAGAGGATCGACAGACATATTTTGCTTAGATTTTTAGCTGGAAAAATAAAAAAGTAAAAAAAAAAAATTTTGTTTTCTTTTGTATCTCCACCATTTCATAAAATTCTCTTTTGGTGATTTTCTGCTTTTAAAATTTTAGTTTTATTAAAATCGAATGTATGATTTTCTGTTGACACATGATTTGTGAGGGAGGTTAAGCATTTTTATCATACTTGTGCCCTTTCAGTCTATTTTCTAACCATTGAGAAGTTTGTCCCATGTAAACTTGGGCGCAGTTCGAACATAGAATTTCATATATAACATTGCTTCTTTTGTTTAACGGTGTTACAGATTTTAGTTTAGGGAGAAACATACAACAAGTTAAGTGTGTAAAGGACAAATCAATGTTAATATTATACTTTTGTGTAACCCTTGTTAATATTATTTTGTTGTGTTCAAAAATGTGTGTTAATTTTATTTTTTAGAAAATTTGTGGTATTTAAGTAATCTACGGGAACACGGTTTGATTACCAAGTCTATGAAATTTATTGATAGAGAAATTCATGTAAACTTTTTATTAAAAAGACGTGTTTTTTTTAAATTATTTTTTATTTTTAAAAAAACGAAAGCCCTAGGCCCCCCCCTGGGCTCAACCCCAGGCCCCCCCAGGCCCACCCCAGGATAAATTGCTAGTTACGCTAATGAATTTTCCCTACAGAATTTGCATTCGCCGTTGTATCTTAGCTTCAATCCACTGAGATGTTCGTTCAGGAGATAGTGTCCTGTCAAGTGACAATCCAAAGATTGTTCTTACTTAAGTTAATTAAAGTCAGTTCTTCGATCGATATAGTTAGTTATTATGTAATCCTGAGCACCACGACGGAATAAAGGAGTTATGAAGAAAACCCAGTAATTTATATGGAAAATACAAACTACGTCCTAACATCAGAAGTGGGATCAGCTTGATAAAAAGTACCACAAATGCTTTGAAAAGTGCCAATATGCCATAAGTCATAAAACTTGAAGTAAAACCACAAATATATCTTGACGTTGAGTAAACTCTGAACCGTTCTGCTTTTCAAGTGGAAACCAACTTAAAGCGGAACTCAAGAACCTGGAAGACTTCATCCGTAACATGGAATTCCCATCCTCCAATGGTCTAATAAAGACACTTGTAGAAATTTCCCAGAGCTTACGACAGAGAAAATTCAAAGATTTCCCTTGATTTAAGTAAGAACAATTTTCAGTTTATCAGTTTTTTTTAACAGGACACTGTCTCCTCAATGAACAAGTCAGTAGATTGAAACTAAGAAACAAAAACGAATGCAGATTCTGTGGGAAAATGGGGAAACCCTCCAAGACGGCAAGAATTCAGAGATGGAGAACTAACCTCTGTAAAACCGTCTCATATACTGGTTTCTGTCAAAGCCCTGAGACCTTATGCTGAGTTATTATTATATTAACTCAAGAAAGAGGGACACAATAGATTTATAAGGTCGCGGTGATTAACTTTCCCTCTCACAGACAATCTACAACTGTAGTCCCCCTATTTTATCGTTTGTGGGTTTGTTTACATCGTGTTATTCGGTGTAAAATGTATATGTAATCACGTGCGGTGTTGTCAAAGCTTACCTGGCACAAGCCGCGGTCCGTTACATGTGATGCCGCTGCCCTCGCCATATTTTACATGTAGGGGGTCCGCGCTGCTGGACACCACCGCGATTTCGTCCAGCTCGTGACAACCTTCCCCTCCCACGCCTCCTGCGCCCACTGTCCCCCCGCAACCGCCTACCAGTCGTCCTGCTGAACTGTCCTGCAACAATACAAATAGTTAAAAATAATAATAATAATGTTTCTTTGTTAAAAAAATACGAAAATAAGAATTAGAAATATTATGACAAAACCACGGTTTCAATATTATTTTAATGCGATCAACATGAAGAAGAAAGAATATACAATACGCTGAATTTGTTTTGTTCTAAAGCGAATAACAAAATGTTGTTAGTTTTAATATGACCATATTTAAACTAAAATTATTATAATAGTTCTCTCTCTGCTAACTGCACTATGTTTGTATGAATATCTTAACTCTCCATACTAAGACTATTATTGAAAAGGTTTCCAACAAAGGTTTCTTCTAAAATAAATAGGGGGGGGGGGGCTATAAATTTACCTGGGATTTTCTGAGTCGATATACTAACCTTATATAACCTTTGTGTCACTTATATGACCTGACCCCATGATTCAAATTTATGCTACGACACTGATTATACTTTGATTTAGATAAAACTCAATAATTTAATTAACAAATATGTTATCGTATACAGAAGATTAATCTTAATAGACCATAAATAAACAAACGCCTAACATTAACCAGTGATAACTTCATCGTTAGTCGTACTAAAAATTTTGTAAAATACAGAACAATGATTTCTATGCTATTTACCATTTTTCTTGTAACGCTTGTGTATTATTTACGTAGAAAATTGACGTATTGGAACAGAAAAAGGGTTCCTGGACCCACACCATGGCCTTTTTTTGGAAATATATTTCAGAGTTTCACCAAAAAGAAAACTGTAGGTCAGATTTTTCGAAAAATTTATAGGTAAATATATTTATTTCATTTTTCTATTTATAAACAAGGTTTTTTACGTTACTATTGGTTTTCGTAAACTATAACTGATCTTTCTTGCTTGAGTAATAATGCAAAACATTACTGATGAGTAATTTGTATAATACAGAGTGTTCGAATATACAGGGTCCGGCAAAAGTGCTTCGGGCATCTGTAGCTCCTAGAATAAAAAACTTGGGAATTTTGTTTAAGTGCAAACCTAAAGTATGTACTAGGATGTATTTCACAAAAATATTTACTTCTATAGGGTGGCTCAAAAAAGTGTGAGTGGATCGGGAATTTTTTTTTAAACGGAACACCCTGTGCATTATTGCAGTTTTTGCTTCCTTTCAGATCACTTTACATAATTCTAAGATATGAGTAAACATATTTCGATAGTTTCAAATATATTAATAAATAAATAAAAATATTTTTTTTTCGGCCTTTCTTAAAAGAATTATTAAAAATACAGTAAACTGTCCTGAAATCAAAACTATATTAGGTATTTACTTTAGATGGTCTGTACTTACTTTGCTATAAATATGGTAATCGGAGATCATACAGGATGTTCAAAATTCCACGCCAAACTTTCGAAAATATAAAATAATTTTTCTTCGTTTTTTTTAAATGGAACACTCTGTATATTATTATTTTATTAGATGCATAATTAAAAACTGAACATTTGTTGTAATTAGAGTATTACAAAATATTCAATGGTTTCACTGATATGCGTGGTTTTATGTTTCATATGGCATTTTCCACAGTAAATTTTTATAAAAGCCACCCAGTGATTTCTACGCGTAAAATGCTATTTGCTACACGTAAAAAAATATTTTTTACGCGTGAAAATATATTCATGTCCTTCAAATCCTTTAATTTAAAGTCGTTATAGTTTTATAATAAGCAAAAATTATCGCTATTATTTTTTAGTAAGTACGACCAATGGCCGGTAGTAGGCGTGTACAGAACACATGATCCGGTTCTTTTGGTCAGAGATCCGGAATTTATCAGCAGGATATTCGTAAAGGACTCGAAGTACTTCTACAATAATGATTTCTGCGTGGATCCCGAACTAGATCCCTTACAAGGGGCCAGCCCTTTTGTTCAAAAGGACGAACAATGGAAAGAAACAAGAACTATGCTGTCTCCGGGCTTTACTAGTGGTAAAGTAAGATTAATTAATATTATGTTGAATTTATAATTGGAGTTAGAACAATGCGGACATTCTATCATATTTTTTACTGAAGTTTTATATAGAATTAGGTCCTTCACAAACAAATTTCTTAGTTTTTACATAGGAAATGTTTACACTTTACACCAACGATGTTTTAGAGTACGTTAACAAACTGAGTTTACGAATTAAAATTGATATATTTATACAGGGTGTTTCAAAAAACATGTACCATCTCTCGTGGGGAGATTCCTCACGTAAAAATTAGATTTATTTTTCATATCAACATAGGTCCGATTATTCTTTGTTTCATAGCTACAGGGTGTTAAAGTCTTAATATTTTTTCGATTTATTATAATTTTCTTCCAAGTACTTTTAGCGTTTCGAATAATATTTTGAGGATAAAAATTACTATAAATGAGAAAGTTTTAAATAAGTACTCATTGATTTCTCATCAAAAAATATGAAAAAAAGTTCCTATAAACATGGGTATGGAAATGCATAGTTTTAGAGTTACAGGATATTAAAACATTTTAAAATTATGTTGTTTGTAGTTATCTTAAATACCATTATTTTTTACTTGAAATTGCTGTAGGTTGGACTAATAGTAATAATAACTAATAGTAATAATATTTAATAATAAATTTGGTAAAATATACAATTTATTAATTTTATTTTTATTTTAATTTTATTAATTATTGTGATTATTAATATTGCGTTTATCTCATCAAGGAGGCCGAATTCGACAAAATATCAAGATATAACTTTTAATTGGCATTAAAGGGCCTACACAATTTTAATATCAAAAGAACAAAGTCAGTGGCGCCCATGTTTTTTTGAAAAATATTCCAGTGATAACCCATATGCACGTCCCTGATGAATTTCACTTCTAGCAACTTTTACCCTCAAAATTTCATTCGAAACGCTAAAAGTACTTAAAGAAAATTATAATAAATCGAAAAAATATTAAAATTTTGACACCCTGTAGCTATGAAACAAAGCAAAATCGGACCTATGTTGATATGGAAAATAAATCTTATTTTTACGTGAGGAATCACCCCACGAGGGATGGCACATGTTTTTTGAAACACCCTGTATACAGTTTGCTAAAAAAAATCCAGGAAATACAGCTAAAAATAAAAAAAATATATAAAATTTTAAACTAGACCAAATATTTTTCCGTTGCGTTTTTTTTACATCTGAGTATACAGGGTGGCTCGAATTCGACGCTCATCATTGAGATTTAGGAAACCGTAAGAGATACAGGATCGGCTAAATGGAGGCAAAGTTGCGCAATTTCATGCTCAATAAAATGGCGTATTGTATTTTTAATTTTAATTTTTTTTTGTGCATAAAATATTCTGGTGATGGAATTTTCTATACGAAACGTCGGCAAATATCAAAGTGACTATATATAGAGTTTTAAGAGTGATGAAAGGATTAAATTAAATTGAAAAAAAATGAGGTCCGTATTTAAAAAAATTAAGTTGATGATGATCGCCAGAAGCCGAAACGTCAGAGTCAATATTTAATCACACAGAGCAGAAAAAGTGGCCATGAATTTTTTTTTTCATTTTAAGTTATCTTAACAAATAAAGCCAGGAAACAATAGAAAACAAAATTGAAAATTCCGTTTTTTCGGAATTTTTCAAAATGCAATACGGCATTTTATTGAACATCAAATTGCGCAACTTTGCCTGCATTTAACCGATCCTGTATCTCTTACGGTTTCCGAAATCCCAATGATGAGCGTGGAATTCGAGCCACCCTGTATATTGGAGATATACAAATTGATAGAAATAATGCTACAACGTGATGCCTAGTACGATTTTAGACGCAAAATACCAGCAGTGTTTTCTACAATTGTGGGGATTACTACAATTAATTTTTTACGTGTATATTTTCGAAATACCGATAAAATAAAAAGCTACTATTTGTTCTAGAAAACGATAAAAATTAATTACAGTTTAGAATTTCTGTTTCTTCTCCAGATAACGGAAATAATCAAACATAAACTCCGTTTTGTTTCAGATGAAAAGTCTTTTCTATCTAATCGAAACAGTGGACCGGAAATTGTCAAAGTACATCGACTCACAAAAAGGAAAAACGTTAGAGACACAAAATCTTTGCAGGAGATACACCCTGGAAAATGTAGCTTTATCAGCGTTTGGAATAGACGGTCGATGTTTCGAAAGTACACAAGAATCCGATTTCATGAAACTGGCCAACGCATTTATAGCTCCTGGCACTTTTGCCTTGTCCATGCTACAGATGTTCCCTCTTATCAGTAATTTGATATCTTTAAAGTAAGTACGCGAATACACTACTCAAAACAATTATCGCATATTTTAATAAAAGTAATTATTACATATTTCTAAATGAAGCATGCATTTTTCTGCCTTTCTCTTGTGAGTTTTTTTTAGGATTATTAGGGTATGCACTGATAAGTAATTTTTAATCGACCGGCTATTTAGTTGCAAAAGTGAAAACAATACATTCTTATGAAGCTGATCGATCCAATATTTGATTACATTGCGTAGCCTTAGACTATGTGCTGACAGACAATTTCTAATCGGCCGACTATTTAGTTGCATATTTGTAAACAATATATCCTTATCGAGCCGCGCTCACATGCAATCAAATAGTCGGCCAATCGATTTCATAAGTACGTATTGTTTTCACTGTTGCAACTAAATAGTCGGCAGACTAAAAATTACAGGTGAGCCCGTAGGCTTATTGTATCGAATTTACCTTTACAGTATCCATACTATTTTAAATCGTACGTCAGGGAATTCAAAGTGTCTTGTTTTTCAAATTAATATTTTTTTAGAAAATATGCGATGATTGTTTTGAATAGGATAATAAAAAGAGGGTGTCCATTAGTTAGGTAACTTGTTTTAACCATATCTATTCATAGAATTTACTATAAAGAAGAATTGTGTTAAATTTTGGCATATTTTAGTGTAGAAACGTGTTTTACTTTAAATTAACGTGATTTTCGCACATTTTTACACTATTTTTGCCCACAAAAATTTACATGATATTTGCCAAAAAAAACCTCCCTCCCCTACTTAAGATTTAGTAAAATTCGCCATACTCTCCCCTTGATTGCCTCTCATAATGATGTGGATGGAGTCATGCTTGACTGGTTTCGATCGTATTTATCGGGCCGGTCTCAGTGGGTGTCAGTGGCATCATTCCCGTATGAGTCTACATCGGGAGTTCCACAGGGAAGTCACCTGGGTCCGTTATTATTTATTATCTATATTAATGATATAAAAAACTGTTTTCATTTTTCCAACTATTTGTTATATGCGGACGACTTAAAATTTTTTATGAAAATTCGTAACATCAATGGTGCGCTTTTATTTCAGTCTGAATTGGACAATTTTAAGAATTACTGTTCGAAAAATAATCTTTTTCTAAATCCGGAAAAATATTTCATGATCTCATTCAGTCGTAATCACAATAAGATAGTGTATAACTATAGCTTAGGTGACATTGATTTACTTCGAAAACAAGGAGCACGAGATCTAGGAGTATTCTTTGATGAGAAACTGATTTTTAGCGAGCATATTGAGGCTATTGTTTCTAAAGCATTTAGAATGCTGGGATTTATAAACAGGCAGGCTAGACAATTCACCAGCAATAAAGCTTTGCTCTCTTTATATTATGCGTATGTATACAGTCAGTTGAACTCAGTGTGGAATCCAATGTACCATATTTATATAAATAGGCTAGAGCAGGTACAAAAAAGATTTGTTAAATATTTGGGATATAAAAATAATATTAACGACTCTTATATATCTATGTGCAACCGATTTAATATATTAACTTTAGAACATCGTAGAATAATTACTGATATAGCAGTATTATACAAAATAATAAATTCTCAAATCGATTCACCTTATCTCTTGTCTATGATTTCATTTAATGTTCCAACAAAAAATTTAAGATTCACATCCCTTTTCAAGAAGACATTTTTTCACACAAATAGTGCTGCCAATTCACCAGTTAACGGAATGCTGGAGTTTGCCAATTCCTACTGCACGGATTTTGATTTTTTTTCTGATAATTTGTTTGCCTTAAAATGTAAATTAAAACGACAATTTGTGAGCGTATAGCCATATCCAGATATTATACTCCTGAATAGTAAATTTGTATTTATAAGTTAATTCCTTTTTTCTATGGTTTAATATCTATAATTTAATTGTTTACTTTTAATATATAATTATTGCATTCCTTATCGCGATTCCTTTGCTTGTTATTTCATAGTGTTTTCATTTCATATTTTTTTGCTTAAATCTTAAACATATTGGTGTTGATATTGACTTAGTTTGTGTATATATACTATATAGAAAAAATTGTAATTTTAAGAATAATAGTATTATAATTTTAAAATTGGTTATTACTATTGTTATTGGTATTTAGTTATTATATGTAAGCTGTGGACACTAATTTTGGACTTGTCCTGTTTGTGTTCCGACTAGAAATAAATAAATAAAATAAAATAATTAGTGAACGCTCTCTTAACAAATGTTGTCAATATACAGGTTGGTCCTAAAATGCGTAGCTTCGGACATACAGGGTGTAGTTTCAATTTTATTACGTTTTTTTTCAAATAATTTCTGAACTAACGTCGATATTTGGATGAAAATTGGCGTCTGGGATTTTTTTGATGTAAGAAATTTGATTTCGATGTCAAATTGACTCATACTTGTAGAGAGCGCCACCTACATATTTTCTAACTGGTTTGAAGAGTAATACAAGGGTAATACCTTTTCACCCCTACCTATATAACACTATTGGTTAAAAAAATATAATTTACGGCGTTTTTTACATAAAAAAGGTCTCTTGGTAAAAATCGCTACTGATAATGTTTCTGGAGATGGAATCGAAATTATCAGTACCTCTCTTTATTTCAGTCAAATAACCAATTGTTCTGTGAAATAACCCTAGATCATATATAAGTATGTATGATCATATATAAGTATGTATGATCTAGGGAAATAACTATCTTACTCAACGTGTTTATTTTTTGTCAATAATGACATGTATTGACTATTTCCATTCTAAATATCGTGAGAACTGTTGATCGTAGCGACTTTTACCAAGAAACATTTTTTACGTAAAAAGTCACGGAAATGTATATTTTTTCACTTTTTTATACAGGTACGGACGAAAAATTATTACTCTTCAAATCAGTTAAAACACATGTAGGTTGCATCCCCTACAAATTGACGTCAATATCAAATTTCTCATATCAAAAACCTCCCAGACACCAATTTTCATCCAAACATTGACTTTACTTCAGAAATTATTTATAAAATCGAAATAAAAATTAAAATTCTACACCCTATATCCCCGAATCGAAGCATTTTAGCACATACATTTATACAAACTTTTTTTCTTATTTTTATCTATATATTTTTATATTTAGAATATGCTGCCGAATTTCCAGAATACAATTTGGACCACCATGTATATATACGATTTTTTAGGGTAATTCCCAGGCAAGTCGAAACTAGATTAACTGAAATAATTACGGATGTTTTACGGTACCGTAAGAACGGCAACAGCGAAGTTAAGGATTACCTCCAGTTCATATCGGAGTTGGGTAATAAGAGGAAGTTAAGCAATGTGGAAATTACAGCTCATGCAGCTACGTTCTTTGAAGGTAACTTTGTAAATAGGAAAATAAACCAGTACTGCTAAAGTGTCGTGGAGAAAATAAACGGGTTAATTGAGAAAGTTCATAGAGAATTTCTACACCTAAAGCGCCCCATACACTTCGGTTATTTTGCCCGATTTTAACCGTGCATTAAAAAAATCGCGCGCACAAGCAACTTCTACACAGTATCTCTTTTTAACCGGTTATATATAGATTGTAGATTGTATGGGAGGGGAAGATATTGACCGCCAAACTATAGATCTATTGTGTCCCCCTTTCTTGAGTTATGACTCACCATGCAGTCTCAGAGCTTTGACAAAAGCCAGTATCTTAGACGATTTTACAGAAGTTAGTTCGCCATCTCCAATATCAGTCGTACCAAAGTTAATGGCATTAATAGTTGTCATCTCGACACACTCAGTTATGAGGTTACTTACTTACTTTTTCGTGTCCGGATTATATTATAGATTATTAACCCAATAATGGGGCTACGTCCAATGCCTCCCGTTTAGCCAGCCATAGGCCATCGAGGGTACATCTGTGGGGGCACGCAGGACATTGAAAGAGATGTTCCATGTCCTGAAAGGCACCGCAGTCGCATTTGTCGTCATTTCTGTCCAGCAAACCCCATTTGATCAAATTGGATTTTACTAGTGCCACCCCAGTTCTGATTCGGTTGAGCATTCTCCAGGTTTTCCAGTCACTAGAAACACCATTTGGTGGGTCCTCTCTAAGTGGGTAGTGGGAGGGAGGTTCATCCAGGGGGTGGGCTTAGGAAATGGCGTCTGGATTTAAGTCTACCTGTGCCGCACTCTTGGCCAAAAATTGAGTGACGAGCATCAAATGTTTGTTTTAGCTTCTCAGTATGTTGATGAGCTTTTCTGCGTAAATCGGGGCTTGTAAAACCTGCAGCCTTGTAAAGGTTTTCTAAGGGGGTGGGTTTCATACAATCTTGAGAACGGTTGGTCGTAGCGATTTTTACCAAGAGACCCTTTTTACGTAAGAAACGTCGTAAATGTATATTTTTTATTCAGTAGTTTTATACAGGTACGAACGAAATGTCAAGCCCTGAGTCTGTATGATATGTTATAACTCAAGAAAGGGAGACAAGATAGATCTACCGGGTGTTGCATCGTCGGACGGGACCGAGGGGTGTCTCACTACTGGAATTACATGTACATTTTCTTGGCAGTCGCTGGCAGTCATTGGCAGTCTTATGGCAGTCGCCTATAATAATTACATGGCAGTCATAGGCAGTCTTCTGCATAGTCACTGGCAGTCGCTTATAAGTGGAAGGATATTTTGGCAGTACGTGTACATTTTTTACCCGAGTGAGACACCCCTCGGACGGGACATATAGGAAATCCCATGTAAATTTTAATGGGGTCAATTATTGACTTCCCTAATTATTTTAGAGAATAATCCTATTTAGGTTTATTGAAGAGCACTAAAACCCACATTCAAAAGAATAACTTTAGATATTTTTGATTAGCCCGTTTACGAGTTATCGCCGATTTCTTTTTAAATATTTCTCCTTTCTTATGGCCCTGTATTTACTTACTTATGAGCACCAGTCAAGGTAAAAAATAACTGTCAAATGAAGTTGTCATTTCAGAAATTTACCTATTTAGTGCTTGACTCATTCCTACATCGGAAATCTTAAAGATGTATTTATAAATACAAATTAATATGAATTAAAGTAAAATAAAGTAATCAATTACAAGGTTAATTATAGTATTATTACAATATTCAATAACTTATTAATTTAGGTACTAATGAATTTTAGAACTTTAGGATTTAAGAAGATGTTGAAATATTCCTCCATCGACTGCTAGACAATAACCCAGGCGATAATAAAATTCTCTTACATTCGCTAGTTGATAAACTGAAATTCTATTGCATTCGGCAGAAAGAGCTTTTTTTAACTCGTCTAGATTTGGGTATTTTTTATCCTTGTATAGCCTGTTTTTTAAATGGCCCCAGAGAAAGAAATCATTTGGCGAAATATCAGGAGACCTTTCTGGCCAATTTACTGTATGATTTAGGCCAATAACGTTTCCGTTAAAACTTTGTCTAAATATTCACGAACAGCCAGGGTACTATGCCGGGCAGCCATCCATTTGGTACCAAACTTCCTGATTTTCCCTAGCGGCATCATGTAATGCAGGTAAAATATGATTTTCGAGTAGTTCCAAATAATATTCTGCATTGAAATTTCGCGTAAGAAATAATGGCCCGATAATATTGTGTCCGAATCCCTGCCCAAACATTTACTTTCTGTGGATATTGCGTCCTTGTTTCGCCAAACCTATGTTGGTTTTCTTTGTTCCAATATCGATAATTTTGAACATTGGGTTCATTATTTAAGGTAAACGTGCATTCGTCAGTGAAACATATCTTTTTTAAAAATTCCCTATCCGTGTTTGCTCTTTCCATCATATCGGCTTCGGTGAACTATCCTGACACACGATTTTTCTTAGAAAATGAAGTTTATGTTACCTTAAAATGAACTTTTTGGATTCTTTGACTAAAATCTGATGCGGAAAACACGTTTCATATAAAAAATATTCTTAAAAATGTTGTTATTTGATTTTTATAGCAAATTCCAGGGCAAATTCCATAACCGATAATGAAAGAGTCGCGGGCTTATCTATATCCGTTTCTATGTTTACGCCATAGATAAAAGACTTATACATAGATAAATGCAACAAGTTTAGATTGGAAAGCCCGTAAAAATTTTAGGTCGCGAAATTATTTTGGGTCGCGACCGTTATACGCGATCTGGCGCTGTTATAGCTGTCACTAAGAACAACGGCAAACAAAATCAGAAATAATTTTCTCTTGTCAAAGTCAGAATCTTCAAAAATCATAATAATCTTTCAAAATCTAAACCGCTCTCATTAAAGAAATTCCGAAAAGTGTTTATAGCGTCCATTTTCAAAGTAATATTGCTATCTTGTGAGTTTAACTCAAGTTTTATTTACTCCAACCGGTGATAATTGTGAAAAAGTGGCATTAAAAACTTAAGAAGCTGTGCTGTGAACTGTGAACTGCATGCAAAAACCATCGTGGATCGTGGCATAACGTCGGTTTCCAATGTTTCATAGGTATTGCATACATGCGTCCTTATATAAAATAAAGTTTCTTGTATGCAACACATTGTATTTTATTTCTAAAATTAAACGAAAATAATAATAAATTTGAATAAACAATATTTGACGATATAATTCCGGAAAAAGCCGAACCGCTCCGATATTTTCAAAAGTTTTGGGTCGCGACCGTTGCAAGATAAGCGCCAAATAGTGTTTACATTGTCCTTATGGGCACTTTCCAATCTAAACTTGTTTCATTTATCTATGGACTTATACTAGTAAATAGATAGGCAACTTATAATACATTTCAATTTTATTATACAAGGGCGCCTCTGGTAGATGGAGGAAGAAATACTAATGGAAGAGAGGGGTGCGGGGAAGGGGGGTTGTTTTAGTTAATTTAAAATAAATTTAGACATACATGTAAGAACACTTTGTGAGCTTTTAATTAGGTCTGGTTTACGCTGACAGTAGTGAAGGTCGAATTTTGACAAACATTGCGAATTGATATAAAATATAATATTAATTATACATGGTTTATTAGTTGAATTATACATGGTTGTCCGATCAGCTAGTAAATTATCCGGAATTTCATGCATCTTTTTTGTTTAGGGAAAAAAATGACGTCATAGGTTTTAATTTTTTTTTAACACGAATTAGATTACTTTAGTTTATCAAATTGGCTAAATTACCGCGCCGGCGAGACAATTGCTATAGTTATAGCTCTAGCAATGAAAACACGCTGTAAGCTGTGAAAATAAGTTATGTCTGATCGCTCTGGGATCTTGGACTAATAGGATAAGATGATTATTTCTTGTTTCCGATAGTTCCTATTTAAGATTAGTTGTCCGCATCTTTCGATAGTGTAGATTTTTGCCTGAAGGATGCTGAAGTAGGTGCCCATTGGTTCAGAGTACTTAGTTTTCGGCTCAAATACTAAAGTATTGGAAGCATTAGTATACCACGTTATGGTATGATCATTTAACTGCTGAGCAAACGTTTCTCTCTTCCAATTCTTTTTGTTCGCCCAATTCCCTGTATGATAGTTAGCAGATTTAATGTTTCATTCATTCTATATCTCTCTGTTTAGCAATTTAAAAATATAAATTTGCATTGGGCCAGTTTAAAACTTTTAATTTAAATTCGTTTATTTTATCTCCCGTTCAAATTTCTCTAATTTTGGTTATTCAATTTGAGTCCCGATCAATATGCAATAATAAATTATTCGCACCAACTGAAAGGTCGGACATTTTGAAATGCTCATGAGACGTATCACCTGGCAATTTAAATGGCTTACCGTACATTTATTTGTTTTAAATTTTCCACAAAACTGTGGCGTTTACAAGGTCCGGCAATATTGCGTCAGGCATCTATAGCTTTTAGAATAAAAACTTTTTGTTTAAACAAATGTTAGGTTGCAGTGCGGCAAAAAATTTGTCAGTTATTGCCATTTACCTTACTTATTTCTTTTTCAGATGGCTACGAAACTTCTGCACTAGTAATGAGCTATGTTTTGTTTAATTTAGCTCAGAATCCTGAAGCGCAAGTGAGGGTACGTGAGGAAATTAAAGAATTTGAGGAAAAGAGTGAAGCAAATAGAGTTTCCTATGAAGATCTTCAAGATATGGTCTTCACAAACGCTTGTATTTATGGTAAATTGCTATATATTTTAATTACTATACATATTTTAATTTAACCAATACTATAAATTAAAAATACTCCTAAAATATAATTTCAATGCTAACTTTCATTCTCCTTGGAGCTTCCGCTTTATATGAAAGGTGCCACCCTGTATGTGTTGAAATTTGATGTGCTAGCTCATTTTCTTGAACTTTTATACAAATTTTTAGCCTTGGTGAAGAAATGACCCGTTACATTCTGACATGGAGCAGTTAAGTTAGTCCATTTATCTTGTTTATCTCAACTTTATAAAAGTTTTTTTGGAAAACTGCAAAAAACTTTTTTTCTTAAGCAGCGTTAGCTGAATAATTAATTTAAACTTGATAAAGTGATATTTTTCAGGAACAGTTAAGAAATGTATATCCAAGATAGATCTTAATTTTTTTTAAATATTTTTGCCAGGGGCGGCTCGTAGCACTGGAAGATGGTGAGGCACATTAGAAGAGAATTTTTATTAGTATGTATATAGGGTGACCATTAGTACGAGGAAGTCCAATAATATCTTCGTAGTTGACAAATATATGAAAATAAAGTTCTATATAAAAAAAGTGCATACCCTAAAAAAATATTTTCTTTAAAATTGCAATCGCATTACCATTTTTCTGTACAGAATTGGGTTCAGCATAGAATTCAGCATACATCACACTATTGATTTATTTGAAACACTATATATGCGGGATTTCCATGATAATTCATATTTGAAAATTTTCATTTTTTAAAAAGTGGTAAAAACCTGGAGTGAATTTAACTTATTGATATATTATTGCTTAAGTATGTATATAGCGAGATATGTAGAACAAAAATTTACATTATTTTACACAGGGATTTTTTTATGGCACGGCCAACATTGCAATATTATAATGCTATATCTCAATTTTTTTAAATGCATTACACACTGTATATTATTTTTAGTATTTTAGATACCTACAGACTTAAAAAGCGCACATTTTTGTAGTTAAAATATTTCTAAATTTTTAGCAGTTGCCTTATGTAATATAATTAGCAGTATTATACCGTATGATCGAATAAAAACGGCGTCAGCGGTGGCTATGAAATGAAGATCGCTGTCATTTTATATGTAAAATTATATGGGAAATGTCATCGATCGTCATTTTCAAGCCAACTTGACTTTTTTCGACCATACGGTACCTATTACATAGGGCTAAATTTTTATCAAAGCGACCTCAGGATATTTTGTCTTATATTTTACTCTGTATGGTAAAATTTTGTTTTTCTACCCATCCTATAAAAATAAAACAAAATGAAATCTCTGTAACAGGTTGCTTTACTTTTTGACTATACGAGTACACAATTTATCTAGAAATGATTCGAATTCGAAAAACTTTACCTGGGGAAGTCCTCTGATGATGCATGGTCCCTCTAAATCATCATATCAATCAACAAGTCACTGCCCACTTTTTAGGTATTTACTTAATACGTTGTAATCAGTAAGACGAGTAATTAAACATGCAATTCACATTAAAAACGTATATATTAATCAATTAGAGACAAAACAGTGCAATAACCGGCAGAGTTAATTCAAACTGTGATTCAAACTAATACAAATTCCCAAATAATGCAATTCTGCATTTTCAGCCTGTCGCCTAAAATCTCTCGGGCTGATCGGGAAGTGATACATATTTTTAACGAACGGCTTTTAAGGTTTAAATTTACATTTGAGGCTCGCCTCAATACGGTCTTTTTACGCGCTACTACTCCATACATTTTATCTCTCTTCAACTAAAGGTTTTGCCTATGCTTTTTCTTTTCATTCTATAGATTTAAGATTCCAGTGAACGCTGTCGCTCCGTCAATGCGATATACCACAATACGTTAGACAAGGAAAGGCGAGAGGCAAACCTCTGCACATATACTTAAAGACTTCTTAAAGAACAAATGAGATGGATATATATATATCGTCGAGTTTGTCGCATATGGGAAAGGAAGCGCGTTTAAAGGAATACCATCGACGTAATTTATTGTAGAATGACGGATAAAAAATACAATTATTATTGATGCAAATAGGGAAAAAAATATAAAATTGTGATTAAAGAACAAATGTATTGGTGAGGCACTGCCTCATCTGCCTCATAGGACAAGCCGCCCCTGATTTTTGCATAGAAACGTGAATTTTAGTCAAGGATATAGAGGAAAATAATGACTTTTTGTCAGTCATAGAAATTATAATTTTTGCGAATTTAGTAAATGATTTTTAATTTATTTTTTATAATGTGTAAAGAATTGATATTTAAAGTTATTAGAAATATTATTCCATAAATGTCGCCCTATGAAAGTGAAAGATTTCTGGAAGTTACCAGCTGTTCGGTGTTGAGGAATTTTAAAATAATGCATTGGCCTATTCGAATGAGCATGGTCAACGTAGTGAAATAATGAGGGCAAACAGGGAGGCTGCTTTGTAGTTAAAGTTCGATAAATGAATGTCATTAAATGAAATTGTCGTCTGTTAGTCATGGATAAAATAAATAAATTATTAAGATGTGGCGTTATACAGGGTGAGTTTTCTACGATGTTCTGTATGGTTATCTCGGAAACTACTGGAGATAGAGAGTCGGTTAAATGGGGAAAGAATTGCAGTTTTGTGGGGTCATAAATATGGCTCTTTCAGATTTTTGAAGAAGTTCATGGCTTACTAGATATTTCGAAAAAAACAAATTTTGGCTATTTTAAAAATGATCCTTCCTTCCTTTATAATCGATTTTAAACAAAAAGTTTTCAGATAAAAGTTGTAGATAATCACATTCCTAATGAGTTTGTGTTTGGTTTGGTTTGGTCCGATTTATTCTAAAGCCTGTCATTTTTGATATATGACACAAACATATGTTTTTTAAATGAAAACCATAGTTGGCCATGACTTTATAAAAAACGCCATTTTTTAAGCTTTTCAGTGATATAAGCTATAATATGTGTTTTTTTCGAAAAATTACTGAATTATAGCCAATTTTTGTCTTTCTTGACTAATTTCACCTAGTTTGCATGGTATTCTTATTCAGTTATGATTTATAACTTATAAAAAGTCAGAACATATTATTAAACGGTTCTTTACAATTTACATTACACAAACTAAAACTTAAAAAAATAATATCACTACATACACTTTAAGATATTTTAGAAAATGTTCAAAAAAATCCGCCATTGTTTTGAGTACATAAATGCATCTTTTTAAAACTGAATTACTAGCTATTCTCACAGAATGGCCGGTCGACTAAATTAAATTTCTCCCGTACCGCCTCTTCGAGTGCCTCTCTTAAGTTCTTTTGTAAACCTTGTTGTCAACCATACCGCATAAAAAAATCTAAAACGGATAGGTCAGGTGATCGTGGAGGCCCATGCAATTGGTCCACCTCTTCCTAGCACTTAGTTTGCATAATTATGATATAAATAATTTTTAACATTTCTTTCATTATGGGGGAACTTACTTTTTGGAATAAGGATGTAATGGAAAGTCAGTAATGGAAAGTCATGTTGAAACCACTCTATTGATGCGCGAGTATCTAAATTTAACTCTTCTAACATGTCTTGAAATCCGTTCTCTAAAAAACGTAAGTAACGTTCACCGGTCAACGTATCCTCGAAAATGTATGACCAAGAAATGTTGAACCAATAATCCTACACGATTTTCTTCATTTGAAAAATTCATATTTACAATTTTTGTTTATTTTAATTTACAAAGCTTGGATGTGACAGTTTCACATTTCTGAGAGCAACGATGATTGTACTTGTTTCCACTAAGTGAAATTGTTTAAAAATGATAAGAATTGGCTATATTAAAAAAAATATAAAAAAAAAAAACATATTATAGCTTATATCACTGAAAAGCTTAAAAAATGGCACTTTTTATGAAGTCATAGCAACTATATGGTTTCCATTTAAAAAAAAACATATGTTTGTGTTATATGTCAAAAATGACAGGCTTTAGAAAAAAATAGAGAAAGCAATCTCATTAAGGATGTGATTATCTACAACTTTTATCTGAAAACTTTTTGTCTAAAATAGATTATAATGGGATTAGAGACAATTTTTAAAATAGCCGAAATTTGTTTTTTTCGAAATATCTAGTAAGCCATAAACTTTTTCAAAAATCTGAAAGGCGTATATTTATGACTCCACAAAACTGCAATTCTTTCCCCATTTAACCGACTCTCCACCTCCAGTAGTTTCCGAGATACCCAAAAAAAATACTCATAACAAACTCACCCTGTATGATCTCTAAATGTTAAAAGAAAACCGTAGACACGAGTTTTTGGTGTATTTGAATATTTCTAGAGAACCTAGCCGTTTATGAATGTACCATAAACAACATCGCCGTAATCCAATAAAAATAAAATAAGTGTGTTAGATAATTGACACTTACTCTTTAATGGTATACATTTCTTAAGAGACGAAAAATTCTTAATAGACGGAAAATTAAAACATAACATAAGCAAATTTCCGTTCTATTTGTTGTTTTTTTTTGTTGTAGAATCAATGAGACTACATCCAGTTTTAGAACACTACACCAGAGTATGCTCGAAGCCTTACGTGTACACCACTTCAAGGCAGACCGCATCACATTTGAGAAGTATGGCTGTAAACATCGATCCAGGGACAGTCGGTATAATTCCTTTTGGAGGCCTTTGTCACGATGAAAGATATTTCCCGAACCCAGAGAAATATATGCCAGAGAGATTTTTAGAAAAAGAAAATAGCTTTAAACAAGTGTTTTATCCTTTTGGTGGCGGACATAGAGTTTGTTTAGGTAGGTATACAGGGTGGTCCGAACTGTATTCTGGAAAAAAATAAGTAAAAAAGTTTGTATAAATGTATGTCCTAAAATGCTTAGTTTCGCTGATACAGGGTGTAGAAGTTTCATTTTTATTTAGATTTTTTCCGAATAATTTCTGATGTAACGTCAATATTTGGATGAAAATTGGTATCTGGGAGTTTTTTGACATGGGAAATTTGATTTTGATATCAATATGACTCCTACATGTACAGGGCGCCACCTACATATTTTTTAACTGGTTTGAAGACTAATAACTTTTCGTCCGTACCTGTATAAAACTACTAAGTAAAAAATGTACATTTACGACGTTTTTTATGTTAAAAAGGTGTCAAAAAGGCTACGAGCAACCGTTCTCAAGATATTTAAAATAAAAATTTAGACAATACATGACATTATTGACAAAAAATGTTCAGTAGATCGTTATTTGACTGAAATCATAAATTTGAAATGTTTTTGTGCAAAACTGTTTTGCAGACACTGTTTTATCATCATTTTTTCAAAGAAAAAATTATGATTAATAATTTAAAAAAATAAAAAGTTCCTAAATTCATAATTTCAGTCAAGTAACTATCTACTTAACATGCTGATTCTATTGTCCATAATGACATGTATTGACTATTTACATTCTAAATATCTTGAGAATGGTTGTTAGTAGCGATTTTTACCAAGAGCCCTTTTTTTCGTAAAAAATCACATAAATGTGTATTTTTTCACTCAGTAGTTTTATACCAGTATGGACAAAAAGTTATTACTCTTCATAACAGTTAAAACACATGTAGGTGGCGTCCCCTACAAATAGGAGTCCTATTGAGATCACAATCAAATTTTTCATGTCAAAAACTGCCAGACACCAATTTTCATCCAGATAAAGATGTTCTATATCTTTTTTAGGTCAACGGTTTGGTATGATGCAAGTCAGGATGGGTATAATCCAAATAATTAAGAATTACGAAGTAACTTTAAGTGAAAAAACCAAGTTGCCTTTTGAGTTTTTGCCTTGGACCATTCTAAATAAAGTCAGACACGGAATATGGCTGGACTACAAAAGAATCAGCTGATATTACAGTGTAATCGAATAAAAAAACGGCGTCAAATTGGCCTCGAAATCTTGGCAATCGATGACGACTTTTCTAAGCCAACCCTGAGGCCGTTTTTTTTCAATCATATCGTGATATTTTTAATTATATTATCCAAGGTAAGTATATAAATTACTAGATCTCTGTATACTTTATGTTAAAAAATCGATTTTTTGTTCAATAAAAATTAATAAACCGAATATTATAGTTTGATTAAAAAATATTGCTTTTACTTATTACCTGTTGTCGATAACATTTGCCATTTTTTGACAAATTTAAAAAAAATTACAATACAAAGTTTTTAATATTATTTCCTTCAACATTTTTTTTTATTGTGCGCTTATTTAAGACTCGCCCTGTATAAAGATAAGTATATCATATAATATTAATTAGGGAATTTTTGGCCGTATACAGCTAATTAGAAATCTTATTTTATTAGAAATTCAGTAAAGTTCAAAGAAAAGTAATCAAACTGCAAAGTAAATTAAAATATAATAATGTTGACTCGAGATAGAACCCTCCTCAACACTGGGTTGTTCTTATCCGTTAATCTCCTGCTTCTGTTGCTTGTGTTTGAAAATTATATATTTATAAGCTTACGAAAGTACTGTTTTATTATTTAGAAGAACTACGGCAGAATTTTCTTTTTGAGGAGGATTATACAAATGTGTAGACATTTTGAAAGGAATTCATTATTTATATTTCATCAAAATATATCTATAAAAAGATATTTTTTGTATCTCTTTAAAATGAGAAATAATTCATGGTGATTATTACACAGCCACCGGCTACCCCTGTAGTTACGCCAACGCTGGAGCTCAATTTTTTTCAAAAACATGATGGTGAAAATACAGCGATGTCTGTTACCGTCTCAGAGTTACAGGGTGTTTTTCAAAAATGTGCATTTTTTAAAAATCGCTGTAACTTTTTTACTATGGAAATTTTTGTATTTTTATGAAAACATTTCCAAAGCACCTTTTTACGTAGAATTTAATGGTTTAAGTATATTTTTTTAAATTAATAATTTAAGAGTTATAAACAAAAACTTTGATTTTTTATATGGGACACCCAGTATATTTTTAAATCATCGAAAATAATTTAAAATTACCTTTCCAAAAATATAGCATCCTTGATATTTTCCTCGATTCCTCTTCGAGATATAGAGTTTGAAAAAATTCACCCACTTTGAATAAGTAGGCCTTTGAACGGTGCCCGGTTGTAATGTAATAATATAAAATAATTCTAACTGTGAGCAGCAATTAAAACGAAAATAATATTTGCAATGAGAGATGCAGAATTTTATAACAATTTAAACTATATTTAACAACATCAACACATTTAATCTAATCACAATAAAGATTAAAGCGGCCCATACATTATCAAACAAATTGTGCAACAAAGCGATGCGCAACGTTGCGTTGCACAACTCTATCATCACCCATACACTTGATAACATTTTGGTCAAACTTTGTATTAAAAGTTGTGCATTGTTCGAGAAACAAGCGACGTCCCGCTAAAAAAAAGCGGCTGATGGCAACTAAAATATTGCACAACGAAGCGCAACACACACATACACTACACAACGCGTTGCGCAAACAGTCTCGTTGCACAAAAGATTTAAAACATTCTTGAAGCTTATCAAACGCAACGCATCAAACAGGGCAATACTTTGGCAACTCGTTGCGCAACAGCCTGTGTTGCGCAATTTGTTTCATAATGTATGGGCCGCTTAATGCAAACCAATACATGATATTTTGCTACAAGTGTTCGGCATGTCGACCGTTTTCTGTTATCAACAGACGGGACCGTTTTTGAACATTTCCCGCGGAATTCATTAACTCGGTGGGGATGATGATACCCTCGCATAACCGCTAAGTACTTCTAATTCTTGTTTATATTATATGGGCAATTTAAAAATATGAACCTTTATTCTTCCGCAAAGATAAAAAGATTAAAAAATCCTCGATAGCCAACGGCTGGAATCTTGGTTAACTATTCAATTATTCTCGAAATTGGCTGCAAAAATTTGCTGATAACTTCAGCGTTCTGAGGCGTGGCCTCGTCTTGCTGGAAAAATATGTTTTCCAGTTCCATTAAGGGCAGCTCATCAATAAGAGGTCCAAAACCTACTAGTTAAAAGTGACGAACTTTTAAAAATTCTGTATTTCAAAAGGAACTATAACAAAATATTAAGTGTGCTCTATTTTTGGAAAGGTAATTTTTAGTTCTTTCCATTCAATTAAAAATATACAGGGTGTCCCAAATAAAAAATCAGTTTCTTTGTTGATAACTCTTAAATTATTAATTTTAAAAAAATTATACTTAAACCATTACATTCTACGTAAAAAGGTGCTCTGGAAATGTTTTCACACAAATATAAAATTTTCCATAGTAAAAAAGTTACAGCGATTTGTTAAAAATGCACATTTTTGAAAAAAACCCAACTCCGAAACGGTAACATATATATTGATGTGCGGTTTTCACCATCATGTTTTTGATAAAAATTGCGAGCTCAGACACCGATATTAGTTTTCGTCTATCTCCTATAGAAAAGGGTGTTTCCCTTTAAAAGCGTCGAATTTGACCCACCCTGTACACAGTAGATCAATAAGGTCGTATTACAATCGACCTCTACCCTCCATACCGGAGAGAAACATTAAGTGCATGTACATACCTGCGACTGCTTCCGTCCCCTGAGACTCAACACCAGCCGCCTGGCCGTGGACATCACTGGGCGCACTTAGGCGCCCAACGTCTTGCGCCCGGTGACAGCGACGACGAAGAATGTGACGTCAGCTCCACTACGACGCCCGCTACTAGGCGCAGCAGGATGGACCACGTGCCACTCACGCTGCGCATCGCAACAACTGCGCCGATGCGCTTTGGGCTTCAGATACGCGACGTAGAATCACCACACGGTTGCGATACAAGACACCGCTGGTTTTTACTGGTGACGACTTCCAGATTATTATCTGTTGTGGAGTGGCAAAATGCTGCATCTGTAAAACAAAAAAAATTGGATTTAGTTTTGTATAAAATAAGTACAAAATATCAAAGTTATTTTACTTTAATAATAAAAAAAGGATTCTTCGTTTTTCCTTTCGTAAAAAAGGATTCTAGGTTTTCTTTCTTGTAAATTTAATCTGTAGACTACCTAATGCTGCCATAATTATCATGATATTGTATGTTTTAACTAAAAATTAAAAAAAATGCAGAAAAAAACTCGTAGACATGTTTCTGGGGTCGAAATATACCACCCCTAGAAATATATTTGCACTTATTTAAGACTCACACTGTATTCGTAGCAGTAATTTAAGGAGGTATACAGAGTGTGTCCAAAGATATCTAGAGGTAGGGAGAAGCATATATTTACGTAGAAAGCGCCCACCCTATAGAAGTTAAAAAATTTTCCTGAAACATCCGTTTAAGATATGAACTTAAACAAAATTCCATTACGTCCAAATTAAAAGTTTTTTTTTATTATACAGGCTACAGGTGCCCGACGTACTATTGCAAAACCCTGTATAAAAACCTTTTAAATAGACCCAAAACATATTTTACTTAAAAATTACATTTCATTTATTTATTTTTTGGAATAATATTACTCAAAACCACTCTATTAACTTTTTATCTATTAATTTATTTAAAAAAAATCTCAACGCTCTAAACTATGTTACAGTCGTCAACAAAGAGCACTTCAAAATATTCAGTTGATTTCACAAAAATCAACTGTACCAAATAATAAATCCAGTTTTAAGTTACATTCAGCGTGTTTACATTGTTTTAATCTATTATTGTAAGGTTACTCTATAACCTGTTATTATTTATGAGCTTATTCTCTTATTCAAATAATCAAAAAGAGCGCATTCTTGGAACACCCTATGTGCGCAAATTATATGTTAAAAATTACAGTAGAGTACCGTAGATTAAATGCATTTTCTCAATTATTTATGCACCACCCTATATCCTTCTGTGGGTGTAGTAGTTCTAATGTCCTGTCTTTATTTCTCTTGGCTGTCAATTTTTTGTTCGTGCACAATCTGTGGTACATATTTGAATTTTCAATTTTCACTTGATTCGATCCTAAAAAATTATATTTTTAAGTAATTTCTAGTAAAAGTTTTAAAGAATAACTTTTAGGAGTTGTGCAAATACAATTCAGAAAGTCCAGATTATTTGCAAGAAACGTATAGTCAGTATTATTTATAACTGATAACCTTAATACAAGATGTTTTGAACTTAGGCCATTAATTTGTATTATTTTTAATAATTAGGCTCTAAAATGAGCAATAAAAATTCTGTTGTAACAAAATGTGAGTGGCAAGGTAGGAATTTTACTGATATAATTTGTTGTAATTAAAGAAATATTGATACATACATTTTACTGTGTCTGCATTTTTAAGGAAGAGCAATATCTCCCATTTGAAGACCTACGATATTTGAACAGGTGACTTATTAACATTGCACGAAGAATATGTTCACCGCCAAATTGAAGACATTCTTCCCAAAGATCAATGGAGAAAATTGGAAGACGATAAGCTGTACTTAACACCTCTGTTTGGAAAGAAAAAAAAGAACAGGAAGACTGCATAAAATGAAGTAAATTTTTATTATAGCATAGTTGAATAACTTTTATTTATCAGAATATATTATATAGTGTAGATGTTACAGTTTTCTTTCTTTTTTTCAGTGAGACAGAGTTACATATTTTGATATGAAGAGGTTCTAAAAACAGCTTGCAATATCCTTTATTCTATATCTAATCAGTTAATGTGTGAAAAATGGTACACAGAAGGATCCACTGTTATGACAGACACATCTTAAATGATATTTTATAGTAGTACAATTTTTTTGATCGTTACATTTGTGAAAAAAATACTATTTCAAAAAATATATAAACTATTGATGCTTTCCAACAAGAATAGTGGTTCCTTCAAGACTATTACATACTAAACCAGGCGATATTACTTACATACTAAACCAGGCGATATTACTTGAATTATACAGGGCGAGTCAGTTTTGGGCTTGAAATTTGTTTAAAATGTAAATTATACATAGTATAATAAAAGGTCAAGTGATAGATCCTGTTTTATTTATTTGAATACAGAATTTCTATGGTTAAAACAAAAAATCCTACTGAATAATGGAAGTTTATCAAAAATGGTGAGGCAGTTTGAAAGATGAAATTACAATTTCAATTATTACATTGATTACTTTGAATTTAGTTGAAATATCTCAGCTGTTGCTTTTGAATTCTCTCTGTATATTACAATTTTGTAATTTCTCATATTTAGAGGTTCTAAAATAGGTACTATATTTACTTAACATTCACTAAGAATCTTTTAGAGAATATATAAAATGTTAAGAGATTTATGTGCTATAAGTGTGCACAAGTTATAAGTAGAGGTGTTATGATGAACTAAAATATATCTCGAATAAGCTAAATTCTTGTTTTGTCTTGTGTCTGGTTTTGGCTCTTGGAAATAGTTAAAAACTAAAAAAACACAATAAATATAACACAGAATCATGTCAAATAGGATTTCTTATTGATTTCAATGCATAATTCTTAAAATAAAAGCAAGAAGTCATGTTCATTGAGTATCATTGAGTAAATAAATGTCTTGTGGAAGTTATACATTGTGGCTATTACTACCTTGTTTTATAATTTCTCGATTTAATAAGGCTTTGTTTATCTAAATATTACATTACTTCGGTAAATATCGAACAACAAAGTTATATTAATTGAATATTTTCTGAAGGCTATCGAACCAGCATCATATTTGTGGATTTTTTTAAATTTATGAGTGTTACATAGGTTTAAAACTGCATAGTTAAAGATATTTAATAATAATACATAATTCCCTGACTGTTTTTAAGGTTTTAAACCTTTTTTAAGACAAAAATCTATTTTTTTATGATATTAACAATTACGGACATTGGGGTAATTAAAATGCGATATCTTTGTGAATTTTGCTTTATTTGTTTATTGTTTGGTGTCATTTTATTCGGAAAACATGTAGCTACAGTTCCCTAGTAGTAGTTTTCTCTCCAAGGTAGCGTTTTATTGCTAAATTTTCGTTTAAACTTGAAATTTAGGTCATAAAATTACATAATTTTTCATCGGTAAAACAAAAGAAAAACGCGTGTTGGCGCTCACTCTAGCGTCAAAAATCAGAAACCCAGCGCAAAAACTCAATATTATTGGTCGTATCGGAAGATTTACGTCATTTCTGGAGGCACCGTTTTGGAGGTAGTACCTATGCCGGGTGCGTCTCCAGAATTTTTGTTAATTGGGTGTGAAAAGTGTCTCTTCCTTATACATTGTGCTCGAAAACCATGTGTAGTGCCTAGCAGGACTTTTAGAAAGGGTAAGTACAACCATTTTCCTATGAATTTCCCGAAATTTTTCGAAAAATCGGACCCTCTAAAAGCGACTGGCTTAGAAGCGCGTCTATTGGCTGAATATAACGTCATTTCATTTCCTATTGGTCGAAATGTTATCAGGCAGTGAATATAAGTTTTGCCTTTTTTGTTAATCTTTCCGTATTTCTTTTTGTTTACTAATTTTTTATAACTTCTGCTTGCTAAATAAAAAGATATAATTTGTTGTGGATTAACAGTTTTCTAAATTTGATGTTTTTATAGTTGGACACGTAGGACAGCATCTATGTATTAAAATAAATCATTTTTAGACTAGAAATGACGATCGATGACATTTCCCATATAATTTTACATGTAAAATGACAGCGATCTTTAATTTCATAGCCATCGCTGACGCCGTTTTTATTCGATCATACAGTATATTGATGTAGATATATAATATTTTAAAAATAAAAGGCTTATATAAGTGAATATAATATTCAATTAATATTTGACTATTATATATAATAAATATTATTTATTAAATTGACTATTATATATAATAGTCAATTTTCTGAAGAATATTTCTTATAGTAGTGCATTTGATATAGGTAGTTTTTCTTAAAGATATATTACACAGGGTCCGACAATAGTGCGTCGGGTATCTGTAGCTCCTACTAGAATAAAAAACTTGGGAATTTTGTTTAAGTGCAAACCTAAAGTATGTACTAGGATGTTTTTCAGGAAAATATTTTAACTTGTATAGGGTGGCTCAAAAAAGTGCGAGTGGATCGAGATATTTTTTTTTAAATGAAACATACTGTTTTTTATTGCATTTTTGGCTTCCTTTCGAATAACTTTACATAATCCTACGATATGAGTAAATATATTTCGATAGTTTCAAAGATATTAAATAAACAAAATAAAAATATATATTAACACACATCTGTCCATTTTATTTCCATAAATTTAATTCAAAAATATTTCTCTATTTATTTCAGAACTCTAATCGTGTACGCAGCGCGCGTTATTTGTGAATTTGCAGTGTTGCCGATCAGTGTTAGATGTCCTGCTACCAAAAAGTATTTCCAGGTTCTGTCGATCCTGATGACGCGTCGAATGGGATTCCCCAGGGACCGTCCGCAGTCCCTGAGGGATCAGGGGCGTTCGTTCTACCCTCGCAGTGTGACGACGCTGCTTTTTACGCCGTGTGGCAGGAATCGCCAGTAAAATAATATGGAATGGAGGTGAGTTGAATTTATTTGGACTTTCTGGACTTGGGCATCTTTCTGATCTTTTTATCTTTGTTTTAGTATGCAGATGAAGAGGAAATATAGAAGATACATTTCTAAAGCATAACGGTCGCGTCGGCTCGTAGTTCTGGGGCTGTTCTAAGGCTTTTCACAGCATTTTAAGGTCACATTTTTTATTTTTGTTCATACCTTCTTTGATTCGAATCGTATAATCTTTTGTATTTCTTGTCGTTTGTAAAAATGGCAAGAAATAATATCTATAATTTTTTTCGAGGTGTCTATTTTTAAAAATAACCAAATTTTATTTTTACTCTGTTATTTATCATTTATTACCAAAAAAAAACAGTGCCACAATGTGCCAGGAAATCGGATCTACAATGAACCAATCTCTTTTTTCAATTATTATTATAACAAAAATTATTGTTTTTTAGTTTTATCTAGTCTTGGTAGTGTTGAATGGGGAGTGATAAGGTAACTAAGGTTCACAGCCTTTCTTATTTTAGTGTTATTTGGGATTAGATTCTTTCTAAAAATATATATAATATAACGGATATAATTTTTATTTTCTGTAATTTTAAATTAAATTTCAAACAATAATCACTCTATTCTAGTCTCTGTAATAGTTTTCTATAGGGCATTGTCATAGGATTAAATCTTATTTTTTCTATCATTATTTTACTATTTTTTTTAAATTATTCTCTAATTGCATTTATATTAAAAAAAAACTTGTGAGATATCATGTTCCTTAATAAACTTGTATTTAAACTAAAACTATTGAAAATACTTTTAATTTTATTATAGTAATGCTGTGATATAATAAAACTTAAATTTGATCATTTCACTTTGATCTTCATTAATTATTTATTTATATTTTCGAGTAAAGTAAATTCTCATTTAAACTAAAATTAACTCATATTTTCCTCATTTATTATTATTTCATCTTTTGAGTTCTTAATACAGATGTATCTTGTTAAAGACACCTTGAATCTTTCTTATTACCTATAGTAGTAAATCTATAATTTTTGTGGCCTTGGAATGTCCGATGTGCAAGGTCTCAGTCGTATTACCTTCTTCACTAACTCTTGTCTTAAGATACGCTTGTCCTTAAGGCTGTTTCTGAAGAGATACGACGATTGGCGCAGATCTGGAACGAAGATTTTCTGGAAAAGGGCAGTAGGCATGGAACGAGATAAAATCAGGTATGTTATGATATTTTATTTTTTTATTATTTTTAACTAACGTATTCTTTCTTTTGTTTCAGGTTAGTGAGCGTATATTTTTTGTGCAAGGGATGCACATCGTGGGGAGTGCTCTGCAAAAAATCGTAAGTTTTTTTAAATGTACTTTTTTCCTGGTTTATTTGGTTGTTTCGTTTATTTCCCTGGAGATGGCCTGAGCAAAGCGGAGTGTTGAGTCGACCTCTGCAGGAGCTAAAGTCCCCTGTATGAGTGTCCTCACAGAAGCACGTTGGGTTGAAATCCACGGGGGCTAACGTTCTCTGTGAAGTCTCCTCACAGAAGAAAAGAACAGCTTTCCTCTCGAGAGCAGAAGAAGTCCCTTGGGTTGTTATGTCTTTCGGTCTTTTTATGAATCTCTTCTAGAAGAAATAATTATTCTTTAAAGAATGTATTTGAGTTTTTTACAGCTTTCTTCATATTATCAAGCTAAAATATAATCTGAAAATGTCTAACAGTTATTTTTATTTTCTTAAATTAAAGATGTAGGTGTAGATAACTTTCTTTAACTTCCTAATTTTTTTACTCACTTTATTTGCTTATTCGACTTTAGAGTAAACGCATGTCAATAACTATATAAATATTTAAAATTATTTTTGTATTTTCAATTCAAGCTCAAGTATAATTCTGGGGCCTAGAAAAAAGGAATGAAGTTTTTTAGTAGTGCAGTAGCAATCCTTAGGACTTTTCGAGGTCATCATTCGTTCAAGTTTCAATTTTTGAGGTCAAAAACTTAACAGTGTCTTGGTCTCTAAATCTGGTTTGTTTTCTTATTAGAGTAGACTTTGGTGCTCTACAAAGACGCGTCCCATCAATAAAAATTCGACAAATTTGCAAGTAGCCAATAAAATGAGTGGGCGGAGCGATTTGCGGTGACTTACTCGTCAAGTCGACATATAAAATATATTGCTGTTTATTTAAATGTTTTTTGTCCGCATTCCTTTCATAGACACAGATCCAGCAGACGAACTGTATCTTATAGGTTCATTCTGGTTGAAGATATTCTTTGTTTAAAGCTGTATACAACAGGTCAGAATCATATCAAAGCCAAATTGAAGTCTACATAATTTCTCTGTACAGCTATTGGTAAAAGCCTTACAGAGAACCAGGGCAGTCGGTTTGAACCGATATCTGCAGAATATTTTTGTAGGGTTCTTGTGTTGTATTGTTTCACATGGGTTGAAGTTCTACCACGTTGTTCGTTGTTTTAATGTTCTCTTTTTAGCGTTATT